CACATTGATTGGTGGATGCATTGATGGAACAATTGGTCAGTCTTACGTTCTCCTATTTCTGAATTGTTATTATTTGTATATGAATATGAAACCCACCGGCATAGATGGCTAGCCCAATTAACACCCCCCCAGCACCCATCGGACCACTTACTACATGGCACAAGGCATGCATGGCCAACATCCGTGCCCCAAACATGACAGTAGCCCAGGTGCCACATCCCCGGCTCCATGCTTGCCCGGCCACTCCATGGCTAAGCGGGAAGATTTGTCCTCCCATCCCCTTGCCTGAATGGCCAGGCAAGCAGAGAGGTGGGGCCACGGCAGCTGGGCTACTGCTGTGATTGGGGCACTGAAGATGATGCAATTTCCCCCCCCCCATTCCAAATACATGATTTGATGTCTTTGGTAAATTCTTCAAAACCAAACTGAAATGAAATTTCACCCATCTGTGCGTATCAAATTTAAAATCTTATCTCAAGTCTCAGAATGAAGAAGATCATGTTGTATCTTCCTGACACAGAATGTTATCAACGGTCAGGAGCCTATCAGATAAAACAAACCACCTGTCCAAATTCATAAACAGGGATTTGGACACAGATTTTAAAGAATTAATTCTGGAAGCCCCCCAGTTTGGAAGGATGGATCTGTCAATTCTGACTTCTTCCATATTCTGATTTAATTTCATCCTTGGGTTCATTCCACTGGGAATATGAAGAAATCTGCAAATCTTAGTGTGTTTGTGTGTTCAGTGTTAAGTGTTTTTTTTCCCCTCCCTGTGGCCACAAAAATAGTTCTTCTCAATGACAAAAGAGCCTTCATGAACGCCGTTCTCTTCCAAGATGATAATACACAAAAGGAACAAAGCATAACCGTGGGCTTTAAATAACAAACTAATTGTTTGGAGGTAGTGTCAGCCGGAAAAGCGATTCTGGGAAAGAGGAAAAAAAAAACAAGAGGGGTGTAGACGTCCAACAGCGGCATGAGTCACTGAAGCATATTATTGTGACAGGAGGGACTGATGTACAGTTTTGAATAGGCAAAGGAAATGAATGTTGAAGGCATTTTCCTAGATGTAAAACCTCATGAGTTGATGGCCAGGTGGGTGGGGTAGGGAATCAAAGAAACATGACTGGCCAAGCCTTAAGGTGGTTTCCATCAAGTCTGTACGTGTGAGAAGAACACATGTCAGTGTGTCATCAGAGGGATTCTTTTCATGGATAAGAGCCCCCCCCTTCACCATTTCACTGCGGGAGGATATCATTTCAGCCTCAAATATGACTTTAAGACAAGCAAGGATTCACATCCCTGATGCACATGCAGCAAGTACTAAAAAACTGGTTGATTGATTAAAAAAAGACACAAGCAACCTATCCAAGTCTTCTCGTTTTTAGAAGCACACACAGAGGCAAACAAAAGTGGTTTTGCTGTCTCATAGATGGGAAGGAGGAAAAAGTGGCTTCTGATTTTCACATTTGCAAATGAGACAAATAAGGATGTCCATCTTTACATGAAGGGTGGGGAAAATATTTCTACTATGACAGATAGCAGAAGAAGCATGGGGCTGTCATTACTGGGGATTAGATTCCCTCCAGATTTTTTGTCCAAGTTCATTTTTGGAAAACATGCTAGAGAGAATAATATAATAATGATAATATAATCACAGAACTGCAGCTCTGGAAGGGACCCTATACATCATTGAATTCAGCCCCTATGAAGGAGGAACAGCGGGGAATCAAACTCCAACCTCTTCCTGGAGCCAGAGGCTTAAGCCACTGAGCTAACCTCTTCCTGCAGCCAGAGGCTTAAGCCACTGAGCTATCCAGAGTTTGCACTACTGTGACATTTATGCACATACAGTATATACCTTGAGATTGAAAATTTATTTATATAATAAATTTGAAGAAAGTAAAAGTATAATTCCACACCTCTACACTTCCCAAATACAAAGTTAGGTGATTTATTCCTAGCATAGGGAGGACTGTGTTGTATCTGCTTACCTGGTTGTAAATATCCCCAGCAGATACGGGGGTCCTATTATATACCACCCTATAGTTCTAAAGCACTTTGTGGGCAATTTATATTTATGCAAGCAACACTTTGATCCCCAGCAAGTTGGATACTCATTTTACCAACGTAAAAAGGATGGAAGGTTGAGCTAAGCTTGAGTAGGCAAGCTAAACCCATTGAGGTCGAACTCAGGTTGTGAGCAGAGGCTTTGACTGCAGTACTGCACATTTCGACTGTGTCACAACTGTGCAGAACAGATTGGTAGCAGTTGTTGCAAATGCTGGTTTTACATGCTCACTGGCTTTCTGAGATCAGAAATCTGGGATGTTCTGGACTCCAGATCTCATTGACTCCAGCAAGGTTGGCCAGCAGTCAAGATCGGGATCCAGAATAGCATTTCTCCTTGCGCCAAAATTTGTGGTGCACTAGTCTCCAATTACTCTTCAGATTTTTGCAGATGATTCCCTCCACCTTACAATGCCAGGCAGTTTCTTCTTAAATCCTCTGCATAGTATAAGAAGTGCTTCTCCACTAAGCAAAATAGAATCATAGAATGACTGAGTTGGAAGAGAGAGTTTGTAGATCTAGTTAAACAGACTGACCTAACTCGTATCCACATCGTGCTCCCCTGAATGTGTCAGATCAGACATATGGTTAAGCTATACTCTACAGATATCAAGCTGGTAGAAGCTAAAAGCATGCTGGTATCATCCTGACATGATCCCTCCTGGGTTTCATGGGTGAATAATCAAGCCTGCAAGCAAAGCTCATGTTTACCTTTCAGTTGTTGTTGTTGTTGTTTTGTGACTCTTTGTGACCCCATGGACCGGAGAACGGCAGGCCCTCCTATCTTCCACTGCCTCCCAGAGTGGGGCCAAATTCATGTTGGTTGCATCGATGACTCTGTCCATCCATCTCGTCCTCTGTCGTCCCCTTCTCCTCTTGCCTTCACACTTTCCCAACATCAGGGTCTTTTCCAGGGAGTCTTCTCTTCTCATGAGATGGCCAAAGGACTGGAGCCTCAGCTTCAGGATCTGTCGTTCCAGTTGAGCCCTCAGGGTTGATTTCCTTCAGGATGGATAGGTTTACCTGCGTTGACTAGACTGACCCTTACAGGAGACCAACACGTATTTTCTCTGGTTTTTCAGAAGCCCTCTGGAAGTCTGATACTCTGGGTGTGCTAGACCTGCACCTGTTTGAACCTTCAAATGATCCTGATGCAGACATTATGTGAGCATCATTAAGCATAATTAGAATGCATAATGCAGTGATTAACAGTAGGGTGAACACTTAACAGAAGGCTGGGTGAAAGATGTCACCTAGATGTGGAAGACTAAAATAGTTCAAATCGTAGCTTTGACACCTTTGAAATTGTTACTAAGAAAAGACATTTACCCCACAAGTGTAGATAAAGCCTGCAAGAGGGTATTCACTAATATTATTGGCTGAATACTTAAGTATTAATCAAGATTCTATCTCATAATGAAGTTTTATTTTTGGCAATTCATTCTCTTCTTCACCACCTCCCATCCCGACTGGATCTGATTTGAACATCATAATGCAATTAATCATGCACTTTAGTGCCTCGTTTGCAATCATTTATTCTTATCCCTGGAAGCAAATTACACAGAAGAGGCTGCATTATGTATTAGAAAGGTAAACTTCATAATTAAAAAAAAAAAAGACCCATACCAGCTTTTCTTCATTACTGTCAAATGGAAAGCTTTCTCTTTCTTTATTTTTTCTTCCTAATTTGAACTGTGCAAATTAATGAAAAGGAGGAGAAACAAAGATTTTTAAAAGGGTTTTAAACTGCATTAATTCAGCATTTTAATATAAGTTCTTTAATACCATTTTAATTTTGCAATTTATTGTGCTTTTTGCTGGATTTAAGAACTGTCCTAACAATAATTTTAAAATCTTATTATTTTCAAGTAAGTGAAGTTCTTCTAAATTATTATTTTTTAAAAAAACAACAACACTGGAATAATACAAGCCAGTTACTTATTGAGAACAACACATAAAAGCATTAAGGACACCTCTGTATCCTAAAAATATTAATAATGTTAAGGTTGTGCCTAATTACTTTTAAATGTTCCTTTTAAAGGACATTTCAAAGTACTTGGACATGATATTTTCAGCTTTTATGCCATTCTCTTATCAATGCTATGTAGCAAGATAAATCTATTTTGGTTCTGATTTTTCCATTTAAAAGTAATGTGAATCAATGCATGATGCAGTTTTAGAATTTACCACTATGGGGAACCAAATAATATTTATTTCTATGTTTGTGTTCTGCTGTTAATAGCAACATAGTGCAATGGGATTGCATTATGGGGATAACAATGAAAATAATGTCAATCAAGCTTCGTGGAAGTGCAGTAGGGCTCTCTTATCTGCAGGAATAGTACTGTAGTGCTGATTCACTTGTGAAAGCCAACAACTACTTCAATGACTTTGAAGGGATATGCTGAAGAAAGGACTTTGCTGTACCATCTAACGTATCATGCATATACCATATATATCTTTTAAATGTACCTGGTTGTAATGGCAAAAATGTATATTATCTGAATGTGTTTTTGCTAAAATAATATAATCATGTTATTACTAATGCACCTGGTTTCCAATCTGAAACCTCCACTGCCTTGTGGCTATATCCACTCATGGAAAAGGCTTCAGGAGTTAACCTAGAGGCAAAATCCAGAGCCAGAGTCCCGGAGGCAGTTCGTATCATTCTGCCAACTCCTGTGACGTTGCTGGAACCAGTTGTATTTTAATGCACCTAGCTTCACTTATACACAGTCTGAAAATATTGGAAAAATTAAAAGAAAAACCCTAGAAATTTATATTTCTAAAGATGAAGTTATCAGAACTGGCCACTTGAGGAAACCAGAGACTATGCTATGCATAGCATTTGCTAGGGAAGTACATTTCCATAATATAATTACCAGAATTGACAACTAGAGGGAGCCAGAGGCTATGCTATGCATAGTATTAGGTATTAAAATAGTGTTCACTATAATCTGCATTTTTCAGCATCCACAGGGGAGCTTACAACAGATTCCCCCATGGATATGAGGGTGCTACTGTAAAACAGTAATGCCAAAGAAAAAAACTCTGTTCTAAAAAGTTACATTTAGAGCTCTACTTCTTAACTAGTACACTGTTTCTCTTCCTTAATGGGGACTCAGGTTCTCTCTTTCCATAAACCAAATCCCTTCTTTCCTTCTCCTTGGTGGACATTGAAGGCTGGACTCTCCTTGAATGTCCAAAGCAGCAAAGGCTTCTGTATTTCTTCCTCCTGCATCACAAAAGACATTAGGGAGCAATTTAGTGTTCAAGACTAATCTATAATAATAATTCTTAAGGGGGGGAAACCCTCACAGTTGTAATGGAACATAAAAACTGATTTTGGTGAGCACGTGGAACCAGCTTGTTAAAATAGAAAGGAAGCCACAAGCATGAAATAATCAGAGGTTCTTGTTTTAGATGTCAGTGACTCGGACAATAAAAAAAGTATGTGCTGGTACTAAAATAACAAGAGATTAACAGCCTGCATTGCCACTGATTAGCTGAGCTTTGCAAAGCAGCCTGAATAGTTATCATTGAACATATTCTGTTGCAAAAATGGAGCAGATGGTGCACTATTTCTGAAGTTTTTAGCAATGGTTATAGAGCGTAAAAAGAATAAATAACAAATGTGTATATATGTTATTTATTCTTTTTATGCTCTATAACCATTGCTAAAAACTTTATATATATCTAGGGGGGGTTATGGCTGAACCCTCGGAGAGCTGCTGCTGGTCAGAATTAGCAGTGCCAGGCTAGATGGATGAGGAACATATTTGGGATGTATTGTCTCCAAAAGAGAACCAGCAGCGTGGATCGTGCCCTTGAAGCACCGGATAAAATCCAGAGTGGACTCACCCCCTATGGCATGAGCACCATCGCCTTTCACTGCAAAACGCAGCTCTTGTGTTCATTTCTGGGAGTATTCTGATCTGTACTCTATTTTACCTCAGAATAGAGGGGGAACGTCTGAAACATGGACATTTTTCCTTGGAGGCTCTGAGATCTCTCTGTTCACCAGAGTGAACAGGTTATTTAGCACCGTGGTTCTATCTTGCCCGGGGAGGCTATAATTCAGGACTCGCACCACACACCAGATGTTGTTGGGCTGCTCTTTGGGTCTGCCTTAGTTCGCATAGCCAAAAGTTGGAGATGAGGTGACCTGTAGGCTAATAACACTTTGTGAGTGTCGCACAGTTGCTATAGTACCTCCCTGCTCAAAGCATCAGTGTAATTCATGTGCTGACACATGACCTGACAGGAAAGATCTTTCTTAGTTTCTGGGAAAGGAGATGAAAGACAAAGAATAAGTGGTAGAGATGAGCATGACTCACTTGTCGCAAGTTGTTGGTGTGGCATCACAGGTGCCATATGTTTTTTTCCACTGCTCCCTGGCCATCCCCTCATTCAGCAGCTGGCATGCTATGCACATCTGCTCTTCACTTGACTGTCCAGTCTCAGTAGGAGCACGGATTTCCCTTCTCCACCTCCTCCAGCAGCCGCCCACTCAGTTGAGGAGGTGGGGCAGGGATTCCTGCAGTGCTGCCCTTGAGTGCGTAGCTGCTGGAGGAGGCAGAGAATGGAAATCCATGCTCCTGCTGAGACTGGACCATGACATGAAGAGCAGGAGACAAGCAGCATGTGTTGGCCGGTGAGTGGGGGAGCTTTACCCATGGTGCTGCACCAACAACTTGTGATGATACAGCATGAAGCGAGTCGTGCCCATCTCTGACAAGTTGTTTACAAGAATGTTGTTCTATATATGTACTTACGTAGTTTTATGCATACACTTTCTAAACAATAGAAAGTTTATGTAATAGCTTTTTAAGGAACATTAGGTTTCAAGAAGGATGCCGCACGAATACAGAAGTGGCCTCATCTGTTTTCTGGGAGGGAGAAGAAGCATTTCATAGAATTGACCCTTCAATCTTCAAGGGATAAGAGGATTGAGCTATAGCTGGAGGAGGTATCTGTCTGTTTATCAGGGCAGGTCAAAGACAGACAACTTTTGGACATGGTTGTTTATGGCTGTGATTCCCAATGTCCATCTCCAACATCCTTGCAACCATATTTCTTCATCCACCCACTCCCTAACCTATTGCTGCCATAGTCCACTACCATTTTCCTGGTTGGCCAGAGGTGGAGCAGAACAGGCGTACAAGTGGGCTTCCCAACTGATGGCTAACTCTGTTTGATCAGTATGAAAGGCAGGTGAGAAAAACAGAATTTTATGGGCCTCTCGTGACTATTAGATCTGGCTATGTCTTCTGTTGCCTCTGGAAATATCTACCATATTGTTTCAGAATGGAAGAGTCATTTCAATTTAAAGTGCCCCCGTTGCTTTGCTTAGTGCCTATTCAAGAGGTAAGGCTGGACAGAAGAGGTGGTAGAAGCTCCTTCGTTTGTTAATTCATTCATTTGTTTGTTCATTTGTTCATTTGTTCGTTCATTCATTCATTTGTCCTTCCTTCCTTCCTTCCTTCCTTCCTTCCTTCCTTCCTTCCTTCCTTCCTTCCTTCCTTCCTTCCTTCCCAGGTGGTGTGGATACTTCCACTGTCATAAATAAAGATGTAACAGCGAGAATATATGCAGAACAATTTTATAGTAAAGATGTAAAAACCTATCACTTGCTCCCCCTGGGAAAAGAAAAAAAAATCTGGGGAAAACATCCAATAAACATTGCTTTATCTTGAGGAAACGAAGACAAAATTATAGCAAAGGCGTGCAGATTGGGTTTCCGTTAATGCGTTTCAACAAATTTGTAATCAAAGGATATTTTATCGTCGCCAACAGGAAAATAAAGCAGCTGTGTTTGTAGGTTGACTCTGATGTCAGTAAATCCTTAGGCCAGGAATAGTTTGCAGCACATCATTAAGAAAAAAGACCTGATAACCTGCATTTTATTTGATTTTATTCCAGGGCAGGCACCCATCAGAAAATTAAAGAACCAGCAACGGGCAGCCAGGTAGGATGAGCTTCAGAGATGATTGGAAGATGGAGTCATAAATTGCAAGCTGATGTTGACCGAGTTGTTATATTAATGTGAAAAAAAATTAATCATTACACTATAACTAGATGACATTAATAATAAAATGTATGACCATAAATGATATATGAGTGGTGGCCTGCCAGAAGTTGGGAAACTCAATATTTTTTTGATTGGTTACAGTCTGCTTTTGGTAGATGCATGACAGAAACTGAAGCTAAACTTACTTCCCTGTGTGGTTCCAAGACCAGGGAATACAAGTCATGCTCTGTTTCCACTTCTGATGTATTTTTAATCATCATCACCACCATCATCTTAGAACTTAGAATCACCTCACTTTGTATTAGGATAGATTAATGCGGGCCACCCATTTTGGATAGGGGTGAGTGGGATTTCACCCACTTTAAGAAGCCATGAATGAATGACACATGTTGTCTTGCAACCCTTTAGAGTGGCCCATGGGACATCTTTTCTTCTTAAACAGAGATTCCTCCCAACCAGTCTTTCGGACTTGGAAACTATGCCAAGCCAAAACCAAAATGAAATATAAAATGAAATAAATAAATAAAAGAGAGTTAGATGGTTTTTGAGACTGCCCTGAAAGACTTTTTTTGTGCCCCCTGATGCATTGCGAGGCAAAACACATCTTGCTCGGTACATCCCCACATTTGTGAGGGTTTTGATGCACGTCAAAGAAATATGATACGTAGGAAGCCCTGCCTTGCTTTGGAAAAGTGAGGATAAAACTTACATACTATTGAAAAAAAATGCACATAGTCATGCTTTGGTGCATGCATGTGTGCATTAGAGAAAGCCCATACGTGAATGTGTGCATTATTTAAAAATGGATGAGGAAAATGTCTAACTCAGTTTCTGTACGGCATTTAAAATCTTGCAAGCTGGAAAAAAGAGAGATTGGATCGGGGGGGGAATGTGAAAAAAATGCAACAGAATGCAGATGAAGACTTTCCCACATCCTTAGCATATACTGGGTTTGGGAAGTCATCGGACCTCCAGCCTTAGGCCCCAATCCAGCAGTGTTTGTGTAAGGTTTGCACAACTTGCCAAGGCTAATTGACTAAGTACAGGGTGCATCTCAGTTCCATGCTTTATCACACACCCAAATGGGCCACTGATATGTGCCTTAGTATCTCATCAATGAACTGCAGTTAGTTATAGCAAGTTATGCACACCTTACATAAACAATGACAGGATTCTACCCTTATAGTCCTTCACCACTGTCCATATTTCTATCTCTCTCTGTGTCTATCTATTTATGTGGTAGAGCTACATGCCTTCACTCTAACGAGTTCAAGACAATACACCCCAATCCCCTCCTTCACACTTTATTATTACAGCATTCTTTTAAGGTAGGTCAAGTTGCGAGTGATTCAAGGTCACTGACTCACTGAATTTCCCAAGTGAGCAGAGATTTGAACACACATCTCCCCAAGCCTACTCTAACACACCTACCACTGAATCACACTGCCTGGAGGGTCAAGTCCTCCCCACTGCACCTTATACCCTACCACTGAGATGTACAGATCTCTTTTCCAGGAAAGGTCAAGGCCAAAATCTAGTTGCTAGTCAACTAGCAACTAGAGAGCTGGACCATAAAGAAGGCTGACCGCTGAAGAATTGATGCTTTTGAATTGTGGGGCTGGAGGAGACTCTTGAGAGTCCCCTGGACCGCAAGGAGAACAAACCTATCCATTCTGAAGGAAATCAACCCTGAGTGCTCACTGGAAGGACAGATCCTGAAGCTGAGGCTCCAGTGCTTCGGCATCTCATGGGAAGAGAAGACTCCCTGGAAATGACCCTGATGTTGGGAAAGTGTGAAAGCAAGAGGAGAAGGGGACGACAGAGGATGAGATGGTTGGACAGTGTCATCGAAGCGACCAACATGAATTTGACCCAACTCCGGGTGGCAGTGGAAGACAGGAGGGCCTGGCGTGCTCTGGTCCATGGGGTCACAAGGAGTCAGATACAACTAAATGAATAAACAACAACAAGTCATGACTAGAGTAGACCCACTGAATTAATGGAATTTACATTAGTGATGACACTTCAGTCTAAAATTGCTACCCTCCCGTAGGGTAGATCTTTATCTTTATTTATTTAATAAATTCATTCCCAGTAGTTTGGTGTGTGTGTGTTTTTTTCCCCCTACTAGGCAGCTTACAATAACACCTGGACTCAAAGTTTACAATAGAGTTTCGTCCACTTATTCTCCCACCAAATGGCAAGATACGGCTTCAAAGCAGAAGCCTGTGCTTTGCGAGAGCAAGTTCATTTCAGCTCGCTCAGGTACGTACGCGGCAATGTAATGCCGTGAAATTATATTCAATCAACAAAAATAATGTCCTTCGCCTCAGAAATAATTATGCTCAACTGTCTACACATTAGTCAATGTCTATAATCCTTTTCTTTGCTCATTGTAAAGCAAGACAGCTTGCAGCAGCTGGAAATGTGTCGCCAAGGTGAAAGCGCCATCTAAGAAAAGCTATCATGGAGATGGCTCGTAATTCAGTTTGACTCCCTTGCTGATGGGCTTCACATGCTCCTCGTCTTTACACAAGGTTAAGTGTCAAGCTGCTTCTGGAATCAAAGGCCAGTCTCCTCACCCCTATGTTTCCCCAGGACGATCCACAGGGACAAAACAACAATAACCGGAATAACATGCCAAGCATTCATTTTTAATTATCTTAACTAAATGGAAATACATATATAAACAGACAATGATGTTTTGGCAAGATACGGCTTCACGTTGGGGACAAAAGAAAAAAAGGACCTTTCGCACCCTGAGGGGAGAAAGAAGCTATCAAGTCATTATTTGTTTGTGTGAGCTTTCTTCTCTGACCTTTTCAATGCCTCCCACTTTATCACACAACACTTTTTCTGTTGTGTAATTTCCAATGGTCAGTTGACCTTCCAATCACTGGACTTGCAGCCACATCCAGTCTGGAATGGGTCCATCAAAAGTAATAGAAAATACTGGGAATTGTAATGACTGACAAGGAACAGAAAACTTTGGAAAATGTAATGACCGACAAGGAACAGAAAACTTTGGAAAATGTAATGACTGACAAGGAACAGAAAACTTCGGGAATTGTAATGACCGACAAGGTTCTGTGTTCCTTTTGTTTGCATAGAAGGGTGGAATACCCAGAGAGGATGAGATTACACCAGCCAGTTGTACCTTTATTTCCCACAAAGTGGAAGGAAAACCTTGTATCCTTAAAAAGAAGGGATGAAAGTATCAAGCCCTATTCAGGCATTCATGAACCAGTCAATCTATATGAGCATCCTTCTGACTCTTCGTGTGGAGAGCCAGAATCTGCAAAGAAAAGCTCCCACTCCACATGGAGAAACTTTATGCCTTCCAGAGTCCTGAAAAAAATCAATTTCTGATCATTGGGAAAGAATGGATGAGTGAAGGATGTTTTCCTCTTCCAGCTAACATTCTCCATGTGAGAGGTGGGAGTGGATGCATTTAGCCTGCTCCTTCATTCATGTTAGCTCTGTCCTGAATGTCTGGATTGCATTTCAGTCTGTGCCCCATTCTATACCCAGTTCTGGCTTGTGCTTTAGCCATACTCAGTAATTGAAATCCCCAGTCTGAACAACACAATACAGTTAGAGAGGACCTCCTAGTCCTGACTCTCCACCATCACTTTCTTAAAGCAGTGATAGAGGAATCTGAAGGGAAGAAGTTCCAGCTTGCATCTTAGCCTCACGCATGACCAAGGGGAATTTTTCATATGAAGCAGAGCCTGGGCATAAAACTGCTCCTCTTCAGAATCTCCATCACATGAACAAAGACATGACCAAGGGGAATAGAGATTTTTTTTTTCCGTATGAAGCAAAGCCTGGGCATAAACAGGAACTGCTGCTCTTCAGAATCTCCATCACATGAACAAAGAGACAATAGATGGGGTGAGGCTTGATCATACATACAGTATATCTTCAATAGGACAGCTTAGAACCTCACTTTTTACTTTAAACTATCAGCCTTGAAAGGAACAGAAAACTTTACTTTACATTTCCTTTTAAAATTATTTTAGAAACCCTAAAATTACATTTCTGCAGTACAAAAATATCCTTCTCGGAGATCCGAAATTCCCTAGCATGGCCTTCTTGAAAGAGTAAACATTGTTATATTGTCCAATATTACTGGAAGCCATGTTACCTCTTACGAAGATTAAAAGCATTGGCAGAATTCCTGAAAAAAAGTATGCAAGGCAGTTACTTGTAACACATTATTTCCAAGTTCTGGATGAGCAAGATCTTCATAAACCTGCCTCAAAGCATTTGAAACATTCTGATGCTGAATTAAAACTCACCTATTTTCTTTGTACAAGAAGGCACTTCAATAATTCCACAGTTTTCCTTACAGATGCTATCTTTTTTTTTCCTTCGGCTTAAAGTGGCATTTCCTCTTTAAATTGCTTTATTATTTCCAAGGCTTCCTCTTATGAAAATGCAAGGAAACACTGAATCACAAGACGTGACTCATCAAAAACTGAACTGAAGTTCCTGCTCATTGGCTTGTTTATAATTTGAATCAGCAGAATTCGGAACTATTCCCCTCCTCCTTTCGGGAATGGATTTGTGCAGCGAGCATCTGGAAGTCAGGAACTGGGAAATAAGCTTCTTGTCATTGGTAGGCGCGGGAGGCAAACAAGATTAATTAAATTAATCTGACTCATTTATGTTTTGATTAAAAAGGCAACAGTCATGAAATTCACGTGGACCACATCTATTTGAATTTTTGAAAAATGCACTGGATGCAACCCAAACCAAACCCTTGATCATCAAAACCCATCTGCAGGGAAGTAAATCCCATTCCATTTTCATTGGGTTTTACTTCTAGATAGCTAGTTTTAAAAAATTGGGAATTTTAAAACTACAAGCATTAGCAGGCTTAGTTCCATGCGATTCTCAATTCGTACACCAACAATAATAGGTGCAACTCTGTAC